CTTTAGTTCTTTCTGGAAAATAAAAGTAGAGAAAGTCCAAAACAGTGACCTGCTTAGCAACAGTCTGTCCAGATGTCTGTCAGGTATCAGCTGTGTTATCACTAGGTTAAGAGTGACTTTCACATGCTTGAATAGTAATAGCTTTCATTGACATCTATAAACATTACTCTAATACTCAAATACTACCATAGAGATACTGTTTCCCCTCTTTTACAGATGACAAAATTGAGGTCCAGAGAGATTAAATTATTTGTCCCAAGACCACACAGCGAGTACATGACAAAGACTAGATTTAAAACATGAACTAAAAGAAGCTACCTCCTCTCATTGTTAGAAAGATCAAGTCAATTCTTTAGTATAAGGTGGGAGAGAAGAGGTACACAGTATTTTTTATTAAATTATGAAGTAGAAATAGTATGGAACTCATTGTCAGCGAAATTAAGGTTATGTTCTTACTGCTGCCTTTTTGTACATTTCCACTACACTATACTAGAAAAGTATGTCCTGAGAGTCAGTAATATTGGTTATGAAAATACATTTACTTAGAAACTGAGGAATATTTGAGGTTCTTTAAAATTCTTTTCACCTACATAGCATTGTTATGGCTGAACTAGAAGAAAAAAATGTATCTCCCTCAATAGGACTAAAGTCTCACTTGAGAACAGTTCTGTTGATCATTCTAAAATAGTCTACTCATGATGGACTGAGCTGGGATACATACTGCTAAAAACCTCTCAAAGTTCAACTTTAGCTTTAAAAATCCTCTTGCATTTAAAATACCCAGCCTTGCTGAACAGTATCTCCAGGTTATCACACATTATATTCTTTAGTTATTATATATATTAGCACTTTCCAATGGAAATATGATTGAGTCACATATATAATTTAAAAATTTTAGGGGGACGCCTGGGTGGCTCAGTTGGTTGAGCAGCTGCCTTCGGCTCAGGTCATGATCCCAGCGTCCTGGGATCGAGTCCCACATCGGGCTCCTTGCTCGTCGGGGAACCTGCTTCTCCCTCCGCTTCTGCCTGCCATTCTGTCTGCCTGTGCTCGTGCTCTCTCTCTCTCTGACAAATAAATAAATAAAATCTTAAAAAAAAAAAAATTTTAGTAGTCACATCTTAAAAAAGCAAAAAGAAACAGGTGAAATGATTTTTAATACTATGGTTTATCTAACAGTATATCTAAAATATTTCCCCTTCAGCATGAAATCAATGTAAAAATTATAAATATTTTTTATTGTCTTCAAAATATGTTGTGTATTTAACCCTGAGAGTAGCATACCTCTATTTGATCTAGCCACATGTCAAGTGTTTAGTAGTCCCATGTGGTTAGTAGAAATGTCATATTAATGCAGAGAAAGAATACTTAATACCTGTTCTTTATTTGGTCTTATTATTATAGAGATTGCCATAGTTATATGGATTTGAAGGAGAGTTATAGAATCATAGAAAAGTTAAGAAAATTGAATTTTATTTCAAAACCTATGGTTGAGTTTTACTGATAATTCAATATATACATTAATTTTAAAGATTATAAAAATGCCAATTTGGTTTTTATTCACTAATAGGATTCCTTAAGAATGATTTTCCTCGGGGCGCGTGGGTGGCTCAGTGGGTTAAAGCCGCTGCCTTCGGCTCGGGTCATGATCCCAGGGTCCTGGGATCGAGCCCCGCATCGGGCTCTCTGCTCGGCAGAGAGCCTGCTTCCTCCTCTCTCTCTGCCTGCCTCTCTGCCTACTTGTGATCTCTGTCTGTCAAATAAATAAATAAATAAAAATCTTAAAAAAAAAAGAATGATTTTCCTCATTTTCCTTTCATAATGTGGACAGTATAGATTATTGGAAAATACTTGGTTTCAACAAAATTCAATTCAAAGGTTAATCTTTGAGTATGTACCAGTAACCATCTGTAACCTCAGGGAAAGCTAATTTGAAGATGTTTCTTTTCAGAAAAATTGCTTCAAAGGTTAAAAGAATAAAACCTCAAACAGTTTTTTAAATTTTTAATATCACTTATAAGTAGCCTTACCATTGAGTTTCCTTATGTAAACATTTCCTTAAAGTTACAGAAAATTTACTGTGGTACTTTTTTATTAAAGATATTATTTTGGCCCTCTAGATAAATCACTACCTGCAAAAGGAGTTTGAAAAGGATGATAAGCCACGTGACAAGTCATATCAGAATGCAGTTTTAGAAGATATTTTTAAGAAGAATGATCATGATGGTGATGGCTTCATTTCTTCCAAGGAATACAATGTATATCAACATGATGAACTGTAGTATATTTTTATTTCTAAATTTTCTTAGCTACTTACTGTACTTTATATATAAAACAAAGTCACTTCCCTAGAACTTGTCTTTTACGTTTTCCTCCCATGAGAGTATATTTTGATGCCATCAATACATGTAATTTTGGCATAATAAATGTGTGGTATTTTGCAAATTTAACGTTCAGGAAAAGTATAATTGTGTTTCCTATTGCTTTATTCTGTGAGCGCAAATTGCACCACCATGAAATATACCACGTCCCACTGGGCAGTTTTCCCCCTTCAGGAGGTAGGAGGACACCTATGTCAAAATCTACAAGCTCTTCCCAGCTCTAACCTTAACAACATGTACAAGTGTTAAATATCCAATTTTTAACATTTTAATTGTAAAAATGCCCCGTATATTGAAAATATTCAATAGGGCCCAGGAATTAACATTTCATTTGTTTATAAATTTCGCAGCATTACAAGTAGAAGCATATAAAAATCACAGAACTAAACAAATATTCCTTTTGTATGCATATAAGAAAGTATTAGTTGTATACCTCTGTCCCACAGAGAGCCTTAAACACAGGTTCTATACTTTTTGGTGCAAGCTCTGGCCTTTGGTCATTATTCCAATGGGGAATGCTTAAAGACAATTGATCAGACCAAAGGTTTTGTGCCTCTTACATAGCAGACATAATAAAATCTATACTGCTCTGAGTCTGTACTTCTTCAGACATCATTATAAATGTGCTGCCTCCTCTTCCTTCTTGTAGGCTTTTAGATCTATCATCCCTAACTTTTTGTCTTGGTCATTTTAAATTAATGCCATGGTTTTCCTTAATTTCCGGTTCCCTTTCTCTATGTATCTCTATCCTATGTCACTTCATTTTACGATGTCCTTGCTCTTGATCATGACTGAGCCTTACAAACTGGTACCCCATCAAATTTTTGAAAAGGTGTAGAATTTATTTTACACGTGAGGGTATCAAATGAAGATACAAACGGGGATATACACTTCAGTGGCAGTTTTGCGTCATGGTCAAATCATGACATCCAACTTGTTGAGAATAGGAGGTAAGAGATGCTGTAGATCACACTGGTGTCAAAGAAAGTGTGTGTTATTTATTGGACCATGGAAGGTTTTGCCCATTGCATATGTAGAAAAGTATGTCAGGCATTAAATAGCTCTGCTCCAAACAAGTGAGTTCAAACCAAAGCTTTTTCCATTTTCCATTTCCAAACCATTGTTCAGTGTTTGTCTTTAACCTCTTGAACTACACTGCCCCAAATTCTATTATCTAAAAGTTCAGGGGTAACGCAAAACTCACCAGATTGATAGATATCACGTATGCATAGCACAGAGTTTGACACTTCATAAAACCAACACCTTGGGTTTTGGTTTCCTTTCCTCCCAAGAGTGCTTCATACCTGTACCCAATTTTGTCACTCCTCCTCACTTGCTCAACTGCCAGTTCTTGTTCCTTGACTTCCCTCAGGAAAACCTGTTTCGTTGGAATGAAGTTGGTGATTCAATATTATGTTTTGGTTTGGAAACTGCCCCTGTTCTTAAAAAAAAAAAGTCACTAGAGCATTTTGCAATCAGTATACTCCTTTTTGCATTTGAGTGATATATTCGGCTCAAACCACCAACACAGTGGAAGAAGAAATGGAAATCATTCCATAACGAAGAAAACTTCGTAATTCTGTCCTTTCTGTCCCATGGTTTTCCAAATGCTTTTAAACTTATGTTTTTAAAAATTATAGATGAAGTAAAATGGAGATTGATTCTAAAACTCTGGTCACATTTAAATAAGTAAAAATTTAATCATCCTACATACATAATCAGGCATTTTATAGTTACACAATTGCTTTACACTTTCACAGGTGTATATCTCATAGTGAATGCTCTCGCTACATTTTGAGTTCTAGAATTTTCATTACTTCTGCAATTATTATAATAAGGGTATATAATAAATTAATAATTTAGGTTGTTTATGTATGAAAAATCTCAGATGTCTTATAGGGTGGATGAAAAAGATCTCTCAGAACTGAATATGTTAAATATTTTAAACATTTTCAAAGGAGAAAGATAAAGGTGTCCTAGTGGTCTTAACTTTAAAATGACAGTAGTGAGTTTTTATAAGGAGAAAACCAGTAAGCCTGTGCACATTTCACAATAGCACACTGCTCTCAGTCACCCTGTGAACTGTGCCCATAAAACCCCACCCAGAGCTCAATGTGCTTTTCATTTGATACCACAATTAAACATTTAGGATTACATTAAATTATTAACACATTTTTCTCATTTTACCAGACCTAAGGCAATGGTTAAAGCATCATAAAGTCACCACTTCTAACCTCTTGTCATTCTTAAATGTTGAATTAAAAGTCAACTAAAGATAAAATCAATATTTAGAAAAATCACTACGTAAAGTTTTCTAAAATGATAGCCGAATCCCAAATATAATTCTAAAGTAACTGGTAGATTTCAGGAAGGAACATCTATATTTTGAATTTTATATTTAACCTTTTTTACACAAACATATTAATCTTTATGACAATTTGTAGGCCAGATACTATTATCATCTCCATGTTTATAGAGGAAGAAAATGATGTCCAGACAGGTTAATTTCTCTTTTTTCTCTCCCTCTTTAATTTGCCACAATTTATCAAAGCATACCCAAATGATTTTGGAAAGGTATGTGGCACAGTTGCACCTAAAACACTATATTCACTTTCCACTTTATTTCATCCTCTTGTGCCAAACATCAAAACAAGGAACTGCATGAAGTCTCACGTACTTCTGCCCATCGACAGAGCACTGAAAGCACCCATAAACTGTCTCCCTTTTAAAGTTTCCCATCCCACAGAGTATGCAAGGTCCTTTTGGAATGTTGTGATTAAGCAAGTTAACTCGGATATGGGTCCCTTCTTTGAGAGAAATATCAGTCATGCTGAGAGGTTTGTCATAATAGTCAGAAAAAAGATCATCTAAGTAAAGCTGGGAACGAGAAATGGCATCCATCACTCTTCTATCTGAAAGCACAAAAGCAAAGAAATGTGTTAGAAGTCACATTAGAAATACATAACCAAATCCCATTTTTAAATACGTGAATCTAAACCATCTGTCATGAAATGATTTGGCTTTTAGATTTAAAATCCTCCTTAACAGACAAGGAGTACTGATTGGACAAACTCAAGTTTTAATCCAAGAGGAAAAGAGACATTTGAAATACTCTTTAATGGACATACTTCTCTCAAATAGTATATTCCTCAGTCTGTAGAGCAGCGCGAACGTTGCTGTTTCTTCCCTCTCAAATCCTCCTTTTGACACTGAAGTGACACAAAGGTCTATAAAAAAAAATTTTAGAAGATGCTATGACTCGAACAACTCAAATTTCATTGGCAGTTTTAGTTGTGGCTGATGAACGCTGGTACATGCCATTCACTGTATTTTTTAAATTAAATTTTATGTATTTTTGGAAAAGTTAATATTCATATGGCACAAAATCCAGACTATGAAAGGGAAATATGGTAACAAGTCTCCAGTATACCCTAGACCCCAGCCTCAATTTTCCACCCACAAGTAACCACTGTTAAGTTTCCTGAGTATACTTCCAGATATATTCAGTATATTTTATAAGCATAAAAGAATATATGTGTGTGTGTGTGTGTGTAGGCTCATACACACATAAAAGAGTGTGTGTGTGTGTGTGTGTGTGTGTGTGTGTGTGTGTGTGTATTAGGCTCAAATAGTTATACACTAAGCACATTTCTTTAAAATATCTCTTAGACATTCTTCCATGTCAGGGCCCATATCTCATTCTTCTTAATGGCTTCATAATATTCCATAGTTATGGGTGCACCATTATTGAACTAGTAATTGATAATAGATCTTAAGATTATTTCCAATCTTTCACTCTTACAAACTGAATATCCTTATACTCATATCACTTCCCATATGTGTAAGTATATCTGTAGGATAAATTCCCAAAAACGTATGCACATTTTAAGTTTTGATACCTGTGTCAGTTCTACCAGTTTATACTCCTAAAGATCAATATAATTGTAAAAACCTACAACTGAAATGTCCCAAATAGACTGTAATTAGCATGTTTTGTCATGTTTCTGGACTTCCCCTTCTCACTTCCCACAAAACTACAGAAACAAACAGGTCTAAAAATGTCTATGAATTACTATGGCTAGGGGGCTCCCTTGCCCATCCTTTGAGGCGCTGGCCTCTTAAAGACCCATGAAATGTCAAAGTCTAAAGCGAGCTACACTATTATATAAGGTATACGAGGTATTCTGTAGGGTAAATAAAGACAATTTTAGGGTAAGCATTTATACTGTCAAAGTTATTTTTTAGGGAGAGTTGGGGGGAAACTGGGTCCATGAGAGGTAAAACTGAAAAGAATTTGTCTTCGGGTATCTTAGTTTGGACAGCCAGACACTGACAGGCATCTTAACTACCTACCCACTCCTTTATTTGCCGTCTTCAAAAACGACCTATTAGAAGATCATTTATTATCTCCTCATGTAAGTCAAGAAAAACTTTGTCAGTGGATTGTATGTGAGCTCTTATCTATAATCGCAAGTGGGGTGGTAGGGAGTCTGCAGTGTTCCCCAAGAAGCAGAAAAGAGGGAGTGAGTAAGTAGGACCAGAGGGTCTTTCCCAGCTACTTTACCCAAGCATAAGATTGACAGTACCGAGAGTATCATTCTTCCAGAATTACATAGAGAGGGTGTGTATGTGTTTGCTTCCCATTAAATTCTTCTTAAAAGTGTAATCATTTCAGTGTTTCATGCAAATCATTCACTTACCAAAGGCACCATCCAAGTAAATGAAGAGTTCGAAAACACTGAAAGCTATGGTTGTGTGTGCTGGAAAAACAATAGCTTTGTCCCTTCCCTTGGGATTCTGTTCATCCATAAAATGAAACTACAGTAAATAAGTAAATTACATCATTAAGGGGCATAGCACATAAGGAGAGCTTTTTGGAGAAAGAAAACATTTCATACAATCTTACTATTAAGACAAAAACAAATTATCCCATTGAATTTAACTGTCTATACCAGAAGTCCAAATGGTCCAATGAGGGTCTCACAATCTAGGCAATACCACTCACCACTTTCTCACTAACATTGGTCCTAGGGCCAATGATTAGTGCTGCTGCAACAGTAATGCTGACATAGACACCTTTTCCTTTCAACCACAAACCAGCTGTTTAAGAGCTACAGTTGTTTTGAGCCTACTCTGTCAATTGTTCCAAAGCTCCTAGAGTTTTCAGCAGCTTTCCAAAGCAGTCATCAATTTATTTACCAAAATAATCTCCAGCAATTAAATAAATGTTTCAATTTGTACCCCCAGAATGATCCAATGTTAACTCAGTGGACAGCTAAATGTAGCCATTGACTGAACAGAACTTTAATTTGCAAAGATTCAAAAGGTTTTTCATTGGACTCTCTAACAAATGATTTTAATAAGACGAATCGAGTCATTATTATGTGTCATTACTATGTGAATGACAAAGACAATACTATGCTGAGAACTAAACACAAGTAACTCCTAAGTTTTTTTGTTTTTTGTTTTTGTCTTAGGTATTTAACCCTGAATGAAGCGTGTTTGACCATTCACAATATTATTTTAGAAAAGTTAAAATAATATAAAATCAACTTTTTAAAAATGCAATATAAAGTACTTCACTTAAAAATAAAATCAAGAATTCAACATAAGCATTCAAACTTTATTCTTAAAACATCGTTTAAATAGTCATAGAAGGGACTCCAGTATGCATTACTTCATAAGGATTAGTGTTTTGTTTGCATTATGTTACAAATTCAGAATTGAAGTTTTCTTGGATTTTTTAAAAATTCTAAAACAAAACCATTACTGTGCAAAATCCTAGATACACTTGTAGTTCTTTAATCTCAACATTTGACAAAACACACACATCTCATTAGACACTGAGTACTTTTTAAAAATTCCCATTGCACATTTTTAGTAAGAGAAACCTCATGAGTGTGGTTTACCCGCATGGCTTCCCCACGAATTCCAGCATGCACAGACAGTGAGCACTGTCGTGTGGTTCGAATGCTTTCCATGACCACACACAATACTGCCTTTCTGCTGTTCCTTGCCTGACGTATCAAGCTGTGGTCAAAATTAATTTTTCTAGAATAAAGAATAGAGATATTGACAAGAATGTCACATTCTAATTATATATAATCGAGTACATTTCTTGCTGTCATGTGTTACTCATTCATGGTCCACCTTAACTAAAAACAAGTCAAGGCAGGTCTAATACAAATCAGAAAATATGCTCCATAGCCACTAGTAATCTGCCTCTCCTTTCTCTTTTCTTAAAACATGCTTATTATAGGAGTCTGTTGGAAGAGATTCCCTTAGAATATCTGTTGCAAGCAGATTTGTGTATTCTTTTTTTTAAGATTTGTTTTTATTTGAGAGAGAGAGAGCACAAGCAGAGGGAGAGGCAGAAGAAGAGAGAGAGGGAGAGAATCCTCAAGCAGACTCCCTACTGAGCACAGAGCCAGACACAGGGCTCAATCCCAGGACCCTGAGATCATGACCTGAGTTGAAATCAAGAGTCGACCACTTAACTCACTGAGCTGCCCAGGTGCCACACTGTATCCTTTTAATCTAATAATTTAGTACCTGTGTATAGGACCAAAGCAATTTTGTGGAACAATTAAAAAAATCTGTTTAAACCAAGTGATTTTTGGATATCTACCCTTATCTAAAGTCTGGATAAATTGCTAATTTGTATATTTCAAGCAAATAAAGCAAATAAATTACATTAGACAATATACATAACCTGAATGTTTTCAGCATTGTTTATAACAAAGTTTATACAATTAAAATACTTAATGGAAACACTGAAGCATATTAAGTATTCTTCTACTGACCGTGTAGTAATTTCCTTGAGTAATGCTGACACTTCCACTTCATGTTTGGTCACCACACCAAACGAAGCTTTTACTGCCACAGAATCTGATCCAGTGACGTTAATCCCAACGTCATTCACAATATGGTTGCCTCGCCTTCCATAGAGTGAAACATCTGATTCATCTTCATAATTCAGTAGCTGATAAGATGAAATACCTTTATGAAAAGGAAAACAATATTTTTAAATGTCTTGACTTCATCTAATATAGATTATTTATAGTAATGCATTAATTTACTATGTAAGACTCCATTACATAAATGTTGAGAAAGGTGATGTTTCACATTGAGATTTAAAGTAGCAACTCATTTAAATGAAAAAAATACATGTTTATATACATTATGACCTTATTGTTAAAACACATAAACATGTTTTTTTGAAGATTTTATTTATTTATTTGACACAGAGAGAGAGAGAGTGCACAAGCAGGGGGAGCAGCAGGCCGAGGCAGAGGGAGAAGTAGTCTCTCTGCTAAGCAGGGAGACTGATACGGGGCTCGATCCAGGGACTCTGGGATCATGACATGAGCCCAAGGCAGACATTTAACCAACTAAGCCACCCAATTGCCCCAAAACAGGTAAACATCTTAAATCATGTAAAATATCACTCCTGCTAGAGAATGAACTCTTTTTTAAAAAATCATTTTTTTTTATTTGAGTGTAGTTAACACACAATGTTACATGAATTTCAGGTATACAACATAGTGATTCAACAAATTTATGCATTATGCCATACTTATCACAAATGTAGCTACCATCTGTCACCACATAATACTATTAAAATATTATTAACTAAAAAAATTTTTAATTAAAAAATTAAATAGCAATTCAATTAATTTACAACAACAACAAAAATAGAGTACTTAAATGAGAACTCAATTTCTTTGTTCCACCAAAAGAACTCTGTAAGCTGTAAGATCCACTGAGTGGTTGAAAGAAAAACAAGTGTTTATAAATAATTTGTCAAAATGTCAATTTATTTTCTAATCTAGCCTGTGAAATACAATTCAGTTGACCAATTGCAATAACTGAGTCATAAGAAATAAATGTAAATTGCTTTCATCTCATTTGACCCTGTGAGATAGGTAAGACTAAGTAATATCCCACTTTATAGATAAAGAAATATATTATTTTGTCATATTCTAAATTGATTCAGTTTAAACAGTATATACAATACTTGAAAGAAAATTATACAATAAATAATTTCACAAAATAGGTTGGAAAATTATTCAACCAATAAGATTTGATACTACACAAAAATTATTCAACCCATGAGATTTGATACAACACAAATTTAGATATTATTAATCTTAATCGTAGTACCACTATCTTAAGAAAAGTTGCTTTTATCAATGTGCAAATATTACAAATATTAGTATGTACAACTGATGTTTAGAATGTCATTAATACAGCTGAATGAGTAGTCACTCCCAAACAGATATTTAAACTTACCAGCTGAAATTTCTCTGTCTCCTAGAAGAATATCTTTCAGTGTAAAAGGTGTTGAGGTAAATTTATACCTAGGAAAGAGAAAGCATCGCTTCTTTTTTACCACCAGACTTAGAGGTTGGTATTTGTCAGCCTCACTGAGGCTGGGAACAGGAACTAATCTCCCTCCATCTCCAACTTGCTTGACAAAGCTCTTGGTAGCCGCAGCAAACATATTATTATGGTATCAAAACGTCCTCAACTGTAACCCTCTGATAACAATCCATCCTTTCAAAGAAAGCCAGGCACACACCTCAGACTTGCTTGATTTTAAATATAATTGAACACATTAAAAATACAAAACATGGTTTCACCAAGTAGCTTACCAGTGTACAATTCACAGCACTGCCTCTCTTGGTGTGCTCACGTAATGAATTATAGATCAACAGTGTTAAATGATATACTGCGAGCAAGTGCAGTTGGAATTGCAGTCAATAAGCTTATGCAGAAAACTACTAATTTTAAAATACTACCAGTGTCCTTGATGAGGGTTGCTGTTGAGGGTAGTATGCCAGTTTTGAGGAAACCTATAGCTCTATGGGAACAAGGCAATTGAGGCACTAACATTAGCCCGGCGTACCATCTACAGTGGACCTAGTACAAAGGGAATTCCTTCACAACAACATCATGCCAATTGTGGCAACATTAAAGTGCTGTTTTGAGTCCTTAGAGTATATAGTTCATTCATTTCCCTTCTTATATGCTACAAAACCAAGTGATTAATATAAAATATAAATTCACAGGATATAGAGAAGCAACTGCACACCAATTTTTATGAAATAACAAATAAAAGGCATATTACATATATAAATGCGGAAATAATTATGTAATACTAACATATATAAATAACTATAAACTATGCCTTGAGAGGGACACCTGGGTGGCTCAGTTGGTTAAGCGGCTGCCTTCCACTCAGATCATGATCCCAGCGTCCTGGGATCGAGTCCCACATCAGGCTTCTTGCTCAGCAGGGAGCCTGCTTCTCCCTCTGCCTCTCTGCCTGCCTGTGTTCTCTCTCTCTCTCTCTGATAAATAAATAAAATCTTAAAAAAAAACAAAACTATGCCTTAGGGGTTTCTTACTCTGTAGCTGGCACATAGATAACTCCAAATTTGAAATAGTGATGCATTTATTTTGTTTCATCATTATTATCTCAGTTACTCAACCTTTAAAGAGAGCTATATCAAGTTTGGCCTTGTTTTTAAGATATCAGGGCAAAAAATAAATGTTTAGAAACAAAGCTGAGTGCTTGAAATATTGTATTGCCATAGTTATGTCGATGTTCAAATATCTTGAAAAAGTGGCTATGTGCACTTACAGTAAAATATTCACTAAAATATAATAGGTAGTAATCACGATACACACATATACAGAAGGGATAGTGGAAGGAAGACAGAATAGGCCTACTTCAAGCCCCAAATAATATAAATCAATTTGATTAGATTCAGGATTCAGCTGTTTTCATTTGCTTGCGAGTATCCGAGACTCTCATGTAACAACAACAACAAAAAAAACCCAAACCAAAACAAAAAACCCAAAACCAAAAATCACCAAAAGTTTTTAATAACGTCCCTTTGTGTGAACAGCACTGTGCAATCTTCAACAACGCAGAGAAAGCACAGGGAGTCATTTCTGCAAGTGGCTAGCAATCCCCGAGGCGACTCATCTATCGTCGCTATCTGATCCCCACCTAAGGTGGTGCATCCCAGGCAAACCCAATTACGACTAACAACACAGGTGTAGAGAAACAGTATTTTATTGGAGCCTACAGAAAAGCCTTCGTTCACACCTAATGGGCATTGCCTGCCCAGCGTTCCAGCCGCGACGAAAGCCTAGAGACAATGGAAACCACCCGGCCGGAGAGGCGTTGGGCGTGGGGGTGGGGGGTCCCCGGACATCCTTGTGAGCTCCTCAAGGCAGGGCTCAGACCCGCAGAGCCCACTGCAGCCCCCCAGGGCGGATAAAGCGCGAGTTCCAAGCTTCGGGGCCAGGTCCAGGGACTTTCCGTAGCAATTTTGCATTTAGAATCCTGAAATCTTTCTCTTAAAGTGATGCAGCCCTGATCCCTAACTTCCCTCAGCCCCACCACCGAAAAAGAAGCTGAGCCTCAGGCCTCGCACACCGTGAGGCTTGCCTCCCAAAATTTTAGCCGCCTCTCCCGGACGGAAACCGCCTCCATTTATGGACGCAGAACTTGCGGCCACACCTAGGCGGTGGTAGGCTGGTAAGCGCTTGGAATCCGCCAGACGGAGCCTGGGAACCCGCGGGAGCTAGAGGAGCCAGGCCGGGGGAAAGGGGCGGAGTCTAGAAGGAAGGGGGCGGGGCCGGGCCCCAAGGAGCCCGGCGAGCCGGTAGGCGGGGCCCAGCTTGGAGTTGGCCCGCAGCCCGGGCAGCGAGGGGGCGTGGCCGGCACTGCTGCACCCAAACTCCGCCCCCGCCCGTCCTCTTCGCAAGAGGGACGCAAGCCGGGAGGAAAGGGGGACTCCAGGAGGCGGCGGCGGCGGCGCTGGAGCGCTCCTCTCGGGGACCGGCTGACCCGGGGAGCGAGGACATCGCTCCGCACCGCTCTTCCGCCTAGCCGTCCCTGCTCGCTATGTCCCAGAGCAGGCATCGCGCAGCGGCCCCGCCGCTGGAGCGCGAGGACAGCGGGACCTTCAGGTCAGCGCCCGAAAAGTCGGGGCCGAGCCGGGCAGGGCCGGGAGTGGTGGGCGCGAGAGGCGGGGCGGAGGAGCCTGCTTTCCAGCGGCATTCTGGGTAAAGCCCCTTCCCGTCGCCCTCGCCCCAGCGGCTGCGGGCGGACCCGGGGGCACTCGGCTCCGCCCTCCCGGCCGCGCGCGGGCTGGGGTCTGCGGCCTGGCCCCGCCCCTCTTGCGGCCCCAAGCTGCGCGCGGGGTGGGCGGAGGTGGCGCGCCGCCGCCACCCGGGAGACGGGTTCTGTGGGTTTGGTCCTGAGAGATTGCAGCGCCCGAGACTTCGGGGACTCCCTCCCACCCGCTTTCAAGTTATCGCCCCAAAGCCCTCTTTCACCCTGCGGGTTGCCCGCCGCAGCGGGGCCCGGAGACTGGTGCGATTCGCCATCTCTGGCGCTGACGGCAGGGGAGATTCGGCGCCTCCCGCATCAGTGTTGGCAATCAAAGCTAGCTTCTGTATGCTTCTGCTTCCCTCCCCGCTTTGGCATGCAAAGCACACCTTTTTCTGTTTTTTGCAGTTTGGGGAAGATGATTACAGCTAAGCCAGGGAAAACACCAATTCAGGTATTACACGAATACGGCATGAAGACCAAGAACATCCCGGTTTATGAATGTGAAAGATCGGATGTGCAAATACACGTACCCACTTTCACCTTCAGAGTAACCGTTGGTGACATAACCTGCACAGGTCTGTATGCACAGTTAACCCATGCTCGTGTGGGTTGTCCGGCAAGACTTGGTATTGCTTTTCAGTTCGGAAAAGTGCCCTTTTTACCAGGGACGGCAGTGAGGAGCAGGCTCTTGAAACTGCGACCTCTCATCTCAGGTCGTGGGGACTTTCCAGCTCCATCTGATTCTCTCCCTAATTTTCTCTTCAGATACCAAGAAAAGCTCAGAAACATGCCCTAGGATCCTCCTAGGGTTCTTTAAGAATTAGGGAGACGCAGGAAAGGTTCTTGGAGCAATCATAGCTGGATCAGTAGGTGCTGACAAGTATCATAGATTATAGAAGATGCCAAGAGACATGAGCACAGAATTTTCTGAGCCTCACCTCTGTTTGTATGGACTCATCTGACACTTTGAGCCCATTGTGCCACACGTGTTTATGTATCCAAGCCAAGTGAGGAAGACAGCTCAAATACCATTTCATTGCAAATACCATATTTCATAGCACCTAGCACCATCTAGTTCCTAAAACTGTACAGGTTTTAGTAAGATGTCATCTCCTTTTTTATACATGAGAAAACAGGTTAACTTGCCCAAAGACACATAACAATGAAGTTTCAGAGCTCAGACTCCCCTTATGGTCTGTGAGCTTGAACAAATGATAACTAAATTTGCCATTTGTAAATGTAGGCATTTTGTTTCTTATGTATCTATTTAGTTGCAAACAAAAAATAATACTAAATTTAATTCTGGAGAATGCCAAGAAAACAATTCAACAAGAAGGCTGGACTTGCATCATCTCCTAATCTAAAGACATCATTTGTTTAGGTCACTGAAAATCTGGATTCCATTTTCTTTGAAACAACTTTAATTTTGAGGCTTTATATGAGGCAGGTGGATTGTAGGTGATAGCTGGAAGTTTCCTCATAATGAACCATGGAATCGTTGCATTACTCCTTAACAGGTCTATTTTTAAATATTCAGTGAACATTTAAAAAAAGTCTTTTCCCCTTCAGTGTGTTTAGGGCCCAGGGATTAACAACCTAGGGCAACCAACCATTCCACTTAGGCCCCTGCTCTCCTCCCACTGCCCTGTCTTCCTGTGCAAGTTTATGACCCTCCACAGGTTCACGTGCTCTCTAAGGCTGAACATCCTGAAATTTCTGTCTTCATTCAGCCCAGGTCTGGTTATGGAACAGTCTGTCAACCTGTGCTTGCTATGCCTCTTCACTTGGATGACCCAAAGGCATCTCAGTCTCCCTTGTCCCAGACTGAGACCATCTCTTTTCCCTCAAGACTGTTCTACCTGCATTGCCTCACTCACTAAAGGCGCCACTGTCACCCATTTGCTCACAGTGGAAAGTTGGGTTTCATTTTCGTGACTCCTTCCTCTCGCTCTCCGTCCGCCTCTTGCCCACTCTTCCACCAAGTCTTACTTCTTAAGCAGCTCTGGCATCTCCCTGCTTCCCTTGTCTTCCCACTGCTGTAGTCTGGACCTCCATTGTCTCGCACGTGGACCACAGCTGCCATCTTGCTGCTGCTCTCTCAGCTTCTAGTCCCAGGCTGTCCATTCTCATATGACACTGGCTCTTTAGATCTGTTCGTGTTCTTCTTGATCCTAAAATTCATTCAATGGTGTGCCCATCACCCTCTGGTTAAATACAGATTTCTTGATATGACTTAATGGCTTTGCTTCTCGAAATGTGATCAGCAGCAGCATTACCATCACCTGGGCCTTTGCTGCAAATGCTCTGGAATATCAGACCCCATGCCAGACCTGTGGGATCAGAGCATACATCTGAGCAGAATTCCCAGGCAA